CGTGAGGAACTTAACACTGGTTCAACATTAGCAGTGGAGCAAAAGGTCTCCTTCTAGCTGATTTTTTAGGAGGAGTAGGACCTCTGGGAAACTGCAGAGCAAGAAGAAAAGTGGGTGAGGAGGGCAATTTTGTTCCCACTAGGTCAGAGCCATGCACTAGTTTTAGCAACATTTTTGTTGTTCCGTGAACAACAGTGACTTAAGAATGCAGATTTTTCTCTTTATGTACTGCTTGACTTCTCTCCCCCTCCCCAGGCCAGCTCTCCCCAGCTGGGCCCCTAACTCTCCTTCCTTTCCCCCTCCCTTGCTCACTTCACCCTATTCTGCCCCACCTTCCCTTCAGTCCCAGCTCTTCAAGCCTTCTTTTTAAAAGTGTTGTTGTTGTTCTACTGGGAGCTAGGAGGGTGGAGTCCTCTTACCAAGGCTTTTCCTCCTCCCCTCCCTCTAGCCCTCAGACTGGGCTCCACCCTGGTAGTTTGTTAGTTGGCTTTCAGGAGGAGGAGGTGAAGCAGCGGGATGAAGAAGGGGGAAAGAGAACAGCATCTTGTGAGCCCTGACACGTGGTGTGTCTACATACTTCTCAGCTATCTTTCACTAAGTTAAACATATAATTTAACTCTTATCTTCCTCATCTGATTCTTTGGGTACACAAAGGAAAGTGCGGGCTGCTTCCTCAAGCAGTGGATTTCCCTCAGGCTCTGGGTGGAATGGACAGAGTTGAAGACATTTCAGGTTACCATTTGGTATATTTCTTAAATCTGCTAAAGAAAGGAGAACCTGTGTTGCTTCCTAGAAGGAAAAGGAAAGTGATCACAACTTTTACTTCTTCATACCTGCTCTCAAAACGTTTCTTCAGACATAGGCATCAGTCACATGCTTATTATTAGTATCAAGAAGTAAAGAATATAAAGAAAAAGCCCTGCCTTTCCCACCAAATGTGGTTATGGGGTACAAAGTTCCCTGTGTGTCACTTAATTTAATTTAATTTAAGTGAGACAGAGGCCATACCTAAAATATTCAAAAGGAAAATGTGGACTAATAGACTGAGTATGATAAAACCAAGGGCTCCTTACTGGAGCCCCTTGGATAAAATGAATGCTCTCATTTCTCCCCTTAGCACCTAGCATCATTCTTGATACAACCCAGATGCTTAATATACTTTTATTTACTAAACAGATAGAAGAATGATGGGAAAGAATCTAGAGTTTGTTTCTAAAAGGTTCAACAATTTACTTCATGTTTTTCAAAAGCTGAATTTGTTATATGAGGTCAAGTTTTCTACCCAAGTAAAATTGAGGCAGAAAAACAATAACCCAGGGTTGGGCTGGGGTTGTAGCTCAGTGATTGAGCACTTGCCTCACGTGTGTGAGGCACTGGGTTTGATTCTCAGTGCTACATAAAAAATAAATAAAACAAAGATATCATGTCCATCTACAACTAAAAAAAATGTTAAAAAAACAATAACCCAGGGGTTAAGATAAATTACTTAATCAGAAAAAAGTTTAATAAGAATATAGATTGTTTGGCTATCTGCAAGATAGCTTTTATTTTTTAAACCAGGGACTGAATCCAGGCATGATTAACCACTGAACAACATCCCCAAATCCCCAGACATTTTTATTTTGAGATATGGTCTCACTAAGTTGCTAAAGCTAACTTTGAACTTGCAATCTTCCTACTTCAGCCTCCTGAGTCACTGGGATTACAGGTGTGCACCACCATGCCTGGCTGGATAGGTCTTCAGCCTTTCCATATTGAATAAGGAACTCATAGTGACCTTAAGGCACAGCCAAACTAGACCGGGAATTCTAGTGGCTACTCTCTTCAAATTTTTAGTATAGTTATCCATCTTCATCTTTACAACATAAAAATGCATTCATGATATAAACAACCTAATACATTTGAATCTGAAACTCTTTCCAGTGTTGCTTAAAATTGCCTTGGTTGGAATGGTGAAAATCTTGAGTAGTACTTCCTAAATTTCATATATTAAGAAACTAAGGCTCTAAATGATAAAGTGATTCTTTTTTTAAAAAAAAATATTTTAGTTGTCAATGTACCTTTATTTTATTTATATGTGGTGCTGAGAATCAAACCCAGTGCCTAACACGTTAGGCAAGTGTTCTACCACTGAGCTACAACCCCAGCCCGAAGTGATTCTTTTTAAAGAGAGTTGTACTCATGTCTATATGATTCCCTGTCATTTACCTTGTAAGCAGGGAAGGGGTACAGGGAGTGGTGGAGAGATATGGTATAGTAAGATACGGAGTTATTTATAAATCCATACTACAGGAACATTCATGCAGCAAATATGTATATATGTTCTCTAATCTCTGTCCCTCGGTTTTCTCTTTTATAAACTGGTGATAGTAGTTATAAGGTCCTTGCTTAGCATCTGGATGGTCATCTTAAGTGACAGCCATTTTAAGGGAAAAATTTTTGCTTTCCTGCCCAAGGGCCCCAAAGGTATTTCTGAAAAAGGCTCATCACTCCCTCATACCAACCCAACCCTTAACTGCCCACATTAGGACCCACCCACTCTGATTCCTGAGCCTCTCCCATAAAAGTCCTAGAACTCAAGCCTATTTTGCCTCTCTCTTCTATAGAGAGATGGCTTTTATTTGTCAGCTCTGACAAATAAACTCTCATGTGTATTTCTGCCTGGTCTCCCTCTTTCATTTATCACTTACCCGGCTCTTGTTTCTCACTTTCCCTTCAGTAATCCCTACTCACAGGATTATCAGAAGAATTTTTAATGATTTAATAGACATAAAGAGCTCTACAACAGAGTTTGTCACATAGTTAGTGCTCAATAACTATTATAATTGTTAAACATAATAATGCCTGTCATCCAAGTTACAGATATTATAGTATCTGGTGTCTAACCTCAGAGACTTTATTAAGGGAAGAAATTATATAAACAAATATGTGTTTGGAGTGAAGAAGGCAAAGAGGAAGAAGTTTTGCCTGAAGGAAATAAATAAGAAGGAAAGCTACTTTGAGTTAGTCCTTTTAAGAAGGTTGACAGAGAGTTTAGGCCATTTCAGATACAGAAAGTAAAGTGACTCCAATAGCCAAGCTATGGAACCAACCTAGATGTCCATCAAGAGACGAATGGATAAAGAAAATGTGGTGTATGTATACACAATGGAGTATTACTCAGCCATAAAGAAGAATGAAATTATGATATTTGCCAGTAAGTAAATGGGTGGAACTGGAGACCATCATGCTATGTAAAATAATGCAGACCCAGAAAGTAAAAAGTCAAATGTCTTCTCTGATATGTGGAAGCTAGTCCAAAATAAGGGGAAAAGAAAAAAAACTGAGGAAGGGGGATTCCATCAAAATAGAAGAAAGATCAGTGGAATAGAGGAAAGGAATTGAGGGAAAGGAGAAGGGATAAGTACAGTCAAATGAAACTAACCAAACTTTCCTATGTACATATATGAGTATACCACAGTGACCTCACCATCATGTATGTCCATAAGGCAACAATTTTCAAAAAATAAAAAAGTAAGGTTGGAAACAGGCCAGGATTCTCAGGGATTTGCAATCCAGGGAAGACCTAGGACAGCAGTAAAAGCTCTGGTGCTGGAAAGGTAGAAAGGGGCCAGACCACAGCAAAAGACCCCAGTCTTGATGTCATTTAGGTGGCTAAACTATGGGAGAAAGAAAAATGTTTGGGGAGATGAGGATGAAAAATGAGATGCTTAGAAGGTATGCAGGCAGAAATAATAGTTAAATGGGCCTACCTGTTGTGAAGTACTGGGCTTTGACCCTGTTTCCTTATATTAACAAAGGAGACATGGAGGGTACAATAGTACCTACTTTCCAGAGTTGTTACCAGGAATAAATAGAGGAATGATGAATGTTAAAGCATCTAGTCCAGTGACTTGCCCATATTAAGTGCTGAACCCATAGCAACTATTATTATTTCTCTTTCCTTGCTGCTCCCTCCCCTCCTCTGCTTTGTTTCTTGTCTCTCTTCTCTTTCCTCCTCTTTAGAAGAATTGTGGTAGGCAAGAGCTACTGAAAAGGGGCTGTGGTTGCTTGTTACTTCCTGACCTCCCATTAAAATTAACTAGAGAAGGACTTTCAGGCAAGGGCAAAGAAATCCTGGAAATGTGGCTCCTATCCTATGGATGCAGCTCTACAGGGATCTTCGCCAATGCCTAGCTGAGAGGCCGTCCCAGGGGGTTGAGAACACTATTCTTAGAGATCTGGTATCTGGGAGACTGAGAACGCCTTTCTTAAGTCTCCCAGCTGGGCCACACAGTATTTGCAATTCTTCTTACCCATCCTCTCCTTTACCTTCACCTCCTTCCCTCCTCTGTTACTAGATAGATATGCAACCAGCTCCAATCTCCTTTCCTCTTAGCATCCTCCCTGAGAAGGCACTGTGACCTCACTGTCCTTGCTGGTGTCACACGTTACCATGGAGAGCTAGGAGGGTAAATATCGCTTCCAGTTGCCAGTTTTCTTTTCTTTTCTTTAATGGAGAATATCATGCTAAGCGAAGTAAGCCAGCTTTCTTATATCTCTCCTTTCCCTCTCCCTTTCTTCCTAGGCATCCCCAGCCCCAATCTCTACACCCCTCATCCTCCCCTGAGAGTTAGCAGAACGCGAATAGATAAATGACCGAATAGTGTGTTAACAAGCTTCTTTCTGGGACGGATAAGGAACTGAAATTGATTCGAGTTGTACCTGCTGCTGCTGGAGACACAGAGAGGCAGCCGCCAGGGGCGAGGCCAGTTCTCTCCTCCCAGGGCCCCGCCCCAACCCCTTCCTTCTCCCTCCGCCTTCTCAGCCCCACCCTTCTCCACCTCCTCCTACTTTGCTCTCTCCTCTAGCGGCCGCTTGTCCCTTTTAAGGAACTCCACCCTAGGTGGAGTCCTCACGATAGTCACACCTCTCTTCTGGGCCTAGCAGGGCGGAGAAAGACGGAATCACTCCACCCACTCAGGTTGCCCAGAGAGCACTTCAGGTTCTGACCCGTGTGGGGCTCGAGGTCCCCAGTGGTGCAGCTAGGTGCCTCCAAGAAACCCCGCCCCAGAAGACCCGCAAGAGTTGCTGCCGTTTTTCGCTGAAGCCCCTTCCCTGGGCTGGTGTTCTATATGTTTCGACCAATCGTCGGCATTTTCTCCTCCCTTCTTTCTTTTTAGGAAGGCGCTGGGGTGTGCAGCGGCAACCGCGGTGGTGAAGGGATCCTCTCATGGTATCTCCTCGTGGGGAACGTTCCTGTCTTGAATGATTCCTTCTCCGCCTCAACTTTGTGTTCAAGTAGTGTTTTGAGGTTTAGGGTGGGCTTTTTTTTTTTTAGCCTCCACCCCCGGCCCTCTCCTTTTCAAGGGTGTGCGGAGTTCAGAGGATGGGTGGAGAGTGGGCTTGGCCGGAACTAAATTGGTGGAGGTAAAAGGGGAACGGAGGATCTTTAGCATTGGCCCCTTCGGCCCAGCAAACCCACTTTATTTTTAGCCGAGGAAAAGCTGCAGGGGGAGGATTCTTTTTAGAAAGTCTGCTCTGCCGGCCTGATTTTTGGGTTGGATGCTTGAGAGCTTTGTTTCCCTTGTTCTAAGGGTGGCCCAGCTGGGGCTGAATCGACTCCCTCCCTTTTTGCCTTCCTCCCCATTTTCCAGCCAAGAGAAAAAGGGGAGGTGGGGGGCCGAGAAAGAGAAGGCAAGAGCTAGTCGCCTGGCGCGCTGTCAGACAGGGGCGGGTGTGAGGGGAGCAGCTGTCTTGCGATCAGCTCGGGGGTATGAACCTCCTGGAGGACGGCATGAGCTCTGGACACTTCAGGAGTCCTCAGCTAGAGACATGGGCGGTAAGTGACTCCGGGATTAGAACCCACCCACTCTCATCTCCTCCGTCTAGATTCTACCCCTCCCCCCTACACACACCCACTTCTCTTTGGGTTTTAGAAGTGGAGGGGGCGGGGGCGGGAAGCGGAAGGGTAAGAACACTGTGTGGAATCAAATGAAACTCAAGGGAAATGACTTTGCTAAAGCGTTGAGCAAAGAGGGGCTAAGAAGGGGAAGAGATACTTTTGGGGGGCTTCGTGAAAGTAGTGAAAGAGGACAAGAATGGATGGATTTGTCTAGTTTAGTCCACCCTGGCTCAATGCTCGCAGATCCCCCTTAAGCGGTAAAGGTTTGTCTTTGACTTAACCCCACATAGCGAAAGTCGCAGCCAGCCAGAACAGTATTCAGAAAGCCGAACCAGGTAACTCCCCCCCGCCCCCTCCCGCAGCCAAGCACTAGCCGGTACCTAGAAATGCTTCTAAAAAGGAGGAGGAGGGGGCAGGTGGGAACCTGGGCTATTTGGGACACGAATCGCGAGACCCTGGAAGGAGCCGCAGGGGAGGAGCTGCTTAGGGCGTGCCAGTTCTTTAAGGAGGGGCTGAGCTTGGTTGGAGGAGGAAGCCCAAGCCTAAGGCCCAGCCCGGGCCCTTTAAGACGTGGCCAAGGCGGTTGGTTCGTCTGTGTAGGTGGAAGATTGGGCCGAATTGCTGCGATTGCTTGAGCTAATGGACTTGCTCTGCCACTTGGTGGAGCTTTTTATGTGTGTAGGTTTTTGTTTTGTTTTGTTTTACCATAAGAATTTTGGGGAAAATAAACACAAACAGGTAGCCAAGGAAACGATGTCATATTTCTTTAATATTGTCTTCATTGTGAAGAAAAACATATACTAAGCACCTATCTGTCAGCAAGAGTAATAATAGCTGGAAAAAGAGAATAATCGCCAAATCTGAATTTTAAACTAACAAAAACTGTGATGGTTTGACAGTAACAGAAATATCTGCTTTGAAACCCTACTACCACCCCTAACTTGTTGTGTGACCCTGGGCATTGCTTTTCTCTACAGAATGCAGATTAATAATTATATCTCAAAAGACATTCAGGTAAATTAAATACCATACTGTATGTGACACAGACTGCTACTTGTTGTATCTTAGTTTCACTTTTCTTACTCAGTTTGGTACTCTTTCTCTGAGCACTCATGATAGAATTGGTACTTTGCTGTCCTTAAAATACCATCTAGGTGAACTGAAAGGAGGCCTAGGAAGACTGAATTAGCTTGCCCAAAGGCTGAGGCTAGAACATAGGTTTTATTTGCTTCTGATTTAACATTGTTCCCACTGGACTTTATCAGCTCTAAGAGAAAAGGCCACTAAACTGCCTTTCCCCTCATTCTTTGGGTAACTTAACCAGGACAATATAGCCAATGGGACCTTTGGACAACAAAAACCAGTGACACATAAATGACCTCATCCTACTCTTTTAAAGTTTGGGGGAAACCCTTACTGAAAGTCGTTGATCTTTGGTAAAGGTTGGGGACAAAGAGAATAGACTGGGAACAGTGTCTTCAGGTTAGCTTAGGGAACAGGCAGGCAGAAAACATAAGAAGGGCAGAAATATAACTTTAAAAGTAAAAGCAACAAATGCATCTATCTAGTCAATTCTCAAGATAAAACTCATGTCTCTACTTTCATAGCACTAGGGAACTATAGGTCCCTTTTGCTTAGGCATTCAGGTTACAATAGAAAGAACATTAGGAGTAACAAAAACATTGGGGGAAAAACATCAACTAGGTCATCACCTTCACTCTCATTGTTCTAGTATATTCATTTTGATGGGGGAAATACTGGGGATTGAACCCAGGTGTTCTGTTACTAAGCTATATTCCCAAACCTTTTTATTTTTTATTTTGAGATGGGGTCTGGCTCAGTTGCTGAGGCTGGCCTCCAACTTGCAAACCTTCTACCTCAGTATGCACTACCATGCTGGGCTAGTATATGAATTTTAGAGATGGAGTTCTTAGTGGTTCCGATATCTGAATTCTAGTAACCAATATATCAAGCCCAGTCAAGTTGTTCATCCTTCCAGATTGTCTTTGATGATGGGGAATATCAACCATTCATTCTTCCTCTTTCTGGCAGAGGCTCTATTATTATTTGATTCACTTATATGTTCACCTTTGCCCTGAGTCAGTTACACTGTATGGCCTCATTTAATTGGTTAAATGAAGACAAGATTGCCTTTGGATACATAATTTATTTAGTAAATGTATATTGACATACTATGTGTTAGGCACTGAGAAATTATTTTAAAAACTTAATTTCCTATTTCTTTTGTCTTGAATGTCTTCTTTATCCTCCCATCCAAACCTGAATCTTCCCTTAAATTCTACCTTTGCCCTGGCCTCCCACAGCATGTCTTGTTTTTTAATCTCCTCAGCTATTCTTTAGATGTCCTTGTATGTTCTGTTTCATTGATACCACAAATAAAAGGCCTTATAATGTACTTATTTTCATGATTTTTCCTGAACAGTATTTATAGTATTCCTCCATCATTAATCCCAACTTAAATGCCATTTCTATGATTCTTGCATCTAGAAATGCTCTTTTGAGGTCCATATTACTTTTCCTGCATTTTCTGGAAACCGCATTACTCTTTGTCCTGCATTACATATCTAAGCCCTTACCCCTTTTTCCGACTGCCAAGGCACTCAGTGACGGGTAATGTCATTGTATCTTTATAATACTTAGCTAATCACCTTTCCCTTGTAAATGCTTTGTACATATTTTGTAGATTATTGTCTAAGGTCTAGTTCTAAAATGCCATTTTTTTTTGTAAATGAAGGAAAACTTGATTGAGATGATTGACCAAAATGATCATCTAGTACACTTGCCATCTAATTGCTAAGTAGAGTGTATACACTATTGTTTTTGATTTAGGCATTATACCTACAATTCACATTTCCAATCTATTGATTATCCCCAACTTAGCTTCATTATCTAGTCTCTCATTATCATCTCTAAAATTATATTATAATTTGTGATTATAAATAATGTAAGTAAAGCATTGGACTCAGTGCCTGACATGTAATACAAATTTCATAAGTGGAAGGTCTCATCATTTTTATTTTGTTTTATTTAAATATTTCTGTGTGTTTGCAGGAGAGGAATATAGATTGATGGGACAGGAAGTTGGATATAAATGTTTGGAACATACATGCTGTATGTAATATACTAAAAGATATTGTCTGTGTATTTAAATGAATTGGATATATAAATGTGGGCAAATCAAACTCTGGGATTTTTATTTTATTTATTTTATTTTGGTACTGGGGATTGAACTCAGGGACACTCAACCACTGAGCCACATCCCCAGCCCTATTTTGTATTTTATTTAGAGACAGGGTCTCACCGAGTTACTTAGCGCCTTGCTGTTGCTGAGGCTGGCTTTGAACCCACAATCCTCCTGTCTCCGCCTCCTGAGCTACTGGGATTACAGGTGTGCGCTACTATGCCCAGCTGCCCCAGACTCTTATCCATCCATCATTCAAGACTTCTCCTTTCCACTTCCCTGGTTAAGAAAGTTATCATAAATCTTGGGAAACTTAATTAAACTTTGTACTTGTTCTCATCTGTATATTGAGAATAATAATAGAAACTAATTCATGGAGTGGCAGTGAGAAATAAATATGTTAATTTTGTTAAACAGAAGAATGCATGAAAACATAGTAAGCGGTGAGAAAATGTAGTTGTTATGGTTCTTATAACTGATGCTCAAAATGCTGGCATCAGACTTTTCCTTCTTTCTCTGTTTCCTCATCTACCTAGGTGCCAAAGGCTTTTTTTTTCTCTTTGTATCTGGCATTAGTACATACTTTCCTTTTTTCTTCTAACTGCCACCCCCTGAATTTAGGCAAGCAGTGCAAAAAATAAAATTAGCCTATGGATCAAATACAGCTCACATGTATGTTTCCCCTAAAATTTGAAAACTCTCATTTATAAATATATTTTATCTAGGCTTGATGATGCATGACTGTAATCCCAGCAACTCAGGAGGCTGAGGCAGAAGGATTGCAAGTTCAAAGCCTTCCTCGGCAATTTAGCAGGGCCCCAAGCAACATAGCAAGGCGCTGTTTCAAAATAAAAAGGGCTAGGGATGGGGCTGGGGTTGTGGCTCATGGGAAGAGCACTGGCCTAGCAAGCCTGAGGCACTGGGTTCAATTTTCAGCAACACATAAAAATAAAATAAAAGGTATTATGTCCACCTACAACTAAAAAATAAGTGTTAAAAAAAGGTCTGGGGATGTGGCTCAGTGGTTGAGCACCCTGGGTTCAATTCCCACTACCAAAAAATAAAAAATCTATTCTAGGTGTGGTAATGCATTCCACAGAGCTTAAAATCCAACATACACAAAACTGTACAGTGGACTCTCTCCCCTATTCCTGTCTTCTAGCCACCCATTTTTGCCTCACTAGAGTTAACTACAGTTATCAATTCATAAGGAGAATTTTCATGGATATTTAACGTAGGTCAGATAATAAATATGTATACTCCCACTTCCCTTTTATACACAAATGGAAACACATTCTACACATTGTTCCACAACTTGTTTTGTCTACTTAAAATATACTTGAGATCTTTCCATATAATACATAGAATATGTCTCATTCTTTTGTGTGTCTGCATAGTTTTTCACTATATGGATGAACCATGGTGTATTTAAACAGTTTTCTATGGACTGACAGGCTCTTTCCAAACTTTTGCAATGTTGTAATAGCAATAACAACTTTGTAAGTTCTATATGAGAGGAATAGGGCTGTCATAACAAGATATCACTGACTGAGTCTGCTAAACAACAGAAATTTATTTTTTTGACATTCTGGAATCTAGAAATATTAGATCAAGATGCCAGTATGTTCATATTCTTTTGAGAGTTCTTTTCCTTGTCTACATAGCTGCCTTCTTGCTACATACTCACGTGACCTTTATGCAAGGAGAGAGAGAGAGAGAAAGAAAACTCTATGGT